TTCATGTAACTAAAGTTCTTGGTGAGCTCATTCATCTAGACGTGTGGGAACCATATCGTATTGAGTGTATAAGTGGTTTTAGGTTCTTTTTGACTATTATGGATTATTTCACTAGGGCTACTTGGGTTTTCTTCCTAAATCAAAAGAAGAATTTTTTCGAACTCATGTTACATTTTTTCACATGTTAAAAAAATCAATTTGAAGTTGTTATTAAAACCATAAGGACTGATAATGGAACTGAATTTATAAATTTTCGTTTTAAAACTTGTAATGATAATAATGGGATTGTTCATCAGAGTCTTGTGTTTACACTCCACAACAAAATGAATTGGTTTATAAAAATCTCCTAATTTTGATAATCTTGATTAATAGAACTCCTTCTTCTGTTTTAAAAGGCTTATCTCCTTATGAATTGGTTTATAAAAATCTCCTAATTTTGATAATCTTATTGTTTTTTATTGTTTGTGTTTTTCTACAAATCTAAATAATAATGACAAGTTTTCTGCCCGTGCTAGAAAAATGTGTTTTTATGGGTTAATCTTTAGAAAATAAAGGGTACAAAGTTTTAAGTCTTGATTCCAATTCCTTGTTTGTTTCCATGGATGTTAAATTCTATGATTCGGTGTTTCCATTCAGAATGCAAAGTACTATTTTTGGTAAGTCTAGTGATAGTTCCAGTGGGGTTGATCTGTTTTCCTATGATGAGCCTATTCAATCTGAGTCCTTTGTTGATGATGGTTTGTCTAATAGAACTCTGACACTGAATCATCATTTAGATGGTGCTAGTTCTCCTTTAAACCTTAATAGAACAGACCCTGCAAAAGAAAGTTTAGATACTAGTTTACGATTTGAGGAGTCCTTTGTGCCTTTATCTGTTCGGTCTGGTCCTAGTTCTCTTGTTTCTCCTGACACTCCTGGTTCACCTGTCATGACTGAAGATAGTCATTCAGTTCCTGAACCCCTCAATACTCAATCAATTGGTCTCACACGTACTAAGAGGGAGACTCGTCTTCTATCTAGGTTTAGTGATTATGTCATAGAAAGAAAATACAGGTATGGCATTGAGAAAAATCTTAATTACTCTAATTTGACTAATGAATGTAAGTGCTTCATTTCTATTCTTGATCAAACTATTGAACCTCAGTCTTATTATGAGGCTTCTCTTAATCCTGAATGGGTTAAGGCCATGAATCAAGAAATGGAAGCTTTGTATAGGAATAATACATGGATAATAATCGAATTTCCTAAAAATACCCATTTGTTGTTGTTGGATTTGAAAAATTAAATATAAGGCCAAAGGTGAAATAGAAAGGTATAAAGCTCGTCTTCTAGCTAAAGGCTACAATCAAAGGGTTGGTATTGATTATGAGGAGACATTTGCTCTTGTAGCCAAAATTGTTACTATCTATGTTGTTATTACCTTAGCAGTTAATTATGGTTGGAATTTGTACCAATTTGATATAAATAATGCTTTTTTATGGTTCTCTTGAAGATGATGTTTATATGGTTTTACTTCCTAGATATCATAGTAAAAATGACAATAGGGTATGTAAGTTGTTAAAATCTTTGTATGGTTTAAAACAAGCTCAACGTAAGTGGAATGAAAAATTCAGTAATTCTTTAATTAATTTTGGTTTTAAACAGAGTGTTAATGGTTATTCTATGTTTGAAAAGGTCGTTATAATTTTGCTAGTATATGTAGATGATATCATTGTAACTGGAAATTATGAGTCTGAAATTAATAAAGTAAAAGATTTTCTCAAGTCTCAGTTTCTTATAAAAGATTTAGGAAAATTAAAGTATTTGTTTGGGTATTGAAGTTGTGGAAGATCCAAATGGTGTTTGCTTGTCACAGAGGAAATATTGTTTGGAGTTACTTCATGACTTCGGTATACTAGGTTGCAAACCTGTTAAGACTCCTCTTGAATCAAATCTTATTCTTGATAAAAATAATAATGATGTTTTGTTGGAAAATATAATTGATTTTCAGAAACTTGGTGGAAAACTTATTTACCTTACGATTACAAGACCTGACATCGCTTATTTTGTTCAAGTGCTAAGTTAATACATGCATAAACCCACTAAGACTCATTTACAAGTTGCAATGAGATTATGAAGGTATCTGAAACTTAGTCCAAAAAAAGGGGTTAGGTATTTGAAGTCTGAGTCTGATTCTATTTTATTAAAAGGTTACTCGGATGCTAATTGGGCTAAAAGACTTTTCTCTAGAAAGTATGTTAGTGGTTATGTTGTTTATTTTGGTAATTCTCCTATTTCTTGGAGAAACAAAAAGTAGTCTACCATTTCACGTTCTTCAACTGAGTATGAGTATCGGGCTTTGGGTTCTTTGTCTTGTGAGTTAATCTGGTTTCTAAAACTTTTATATGATATGGGTTTTAAGAATATAGTTCTAGTAAATATTTTTTGTGACAATGATTCTACAATTAAGTTGCCAATGAATCCTGTTTTTCATGATAAGATAAAACATTTCAAAATTGATGTTCATTTTATAAGAGAAAAAAAATACAAAAAAGAGTTGTTAAGTTGGTTAAGGTTAGTTCTTCTAATCAGGTTGAATATATTTTTACTAAGTCTCTTATGTCTTCACAACATGAGATTCTTAGTGAAAAACTGTGTTTGTTTGATCCTTTTTCTTCAAAATAGTATTTTTTCAAAATGGTTAGTTTGAGGGGAGCTATTGAAATAAATAATGGTTTTATAAAATCAAACTAACATTTTGTTTATTTTCATATTGGATATATTTTGTCATATTCTTGGCTTTGAGGTTTTGCAATATAAGTTATGAAATGGTGAAGGGTGCAGTTTGTAAATTGAGCAAATATTTTTCGGGTTTACATGCGGATCTTCGGATCCTGTGTGACCCGGCTACTTAAGGATTGAATGAGTGGAGGAGAGCTCATTCACAAGTTCAATCAGTTTTCATACGCTCTCCTATTCTCTCATTCCATCTTCTCTGATTAGGGTTTGTACAAACTGTCGTCTAATTTTGTAGATATGTTAGTTTTAGGTTGAGAGATTTGTACCGAGAGTAGTGTAGGTTTTTTGTTGGTGATTTTAGTGTCACCATTTCATTTTAAGTAACTGGAACTAACATGTGAGCTAAGGGGCTTCATGATTTGTACTCTAATATATGTACGGGGTTGTGCGGAGTGCACGCATGTATAAGATCGAGTCAGAAGCCGGTTCGACGACTAGTCGGGGGTCCGGGGGCAGCGCCCCCGGGTCCGGGGTTTCCAAAGGGGCAGCGCCCCTTTGGCGGTGTCTAGGGGCAGCGCCCCTAGCGGGGTCCAAGGGGCAGAGCCCCTGGCTGGGGTCCCTAATCCGGATTAATATTACTTGCTTCGAAAGCAACTAATGACGGCCCAACCCTAATGAAACCCTAATCGTGTTTAATATATAAACAACTCTTCCTTTCCAGAAGTGTGGGACGTTCTTTAGCTCTCGTTTTTCATCACACATTCACAGAACCCTTTAGCATATTGGCTTACGTTTTCTGTGCCTAGAAACGTAAGTGTCCACTTGGATTATCCTAGGCTGAATTTCTTGTAACACAGGCATATGGTAGAAATATCAGTTCGGAAAGTGATATCACGATCCAAGTTGGTATCCAGATCTCCACCACAAACCCTAAACTTCCCAACATTTTTTGTAGTAAGGTTTTCCTGTAAGTTGATGAAAATCATCTGTCTATTGATCATCAAATGATATAATAGATGATGATGTTGGAAAATCGTGTTTCTACAAATTTTCACATTTCTCTCCTCAACTCATTCCCAATGTTTGCAAGGGTATCAATTCGACTTTTGATAATACAAACATCTTGCGAAAAAACTACATTTACTAAAGAAGAATTATGTTGATTTCAGGTTTCGGAAGATGGGGTTTCCTAGCATGCGTTTCTTTTTCTTGGAGCTTACGGAAAAGATTTTGTAGATTTTGTGGACCTTGGAGGAGGATCGAAGCAAATGTGGTGGAACTGCCAAAGAATGTGGTTGATTTGGGGGCTATCGAGTTACCCATATGCATTGCTAGAGTGGTCACTGAAATCCATCGGCTTTTCAACATATGGGTTCAATGTTACTAGCAAAGTGATTAAGGAAGAACAAAAGAGACTGTATGAACAAGGAGTGTTTGATTTTGGAGTTGAATCAATCTTACTTTTTCCGTTTACAATGGCATCGTTGACCAACTTGTTTTCGTTTGTGAAAGGCTTTATGGAGGTTTTCATCAAGGGGAGGTTTAAAGAGTTTTTTGTGTAGATGTTCATATCTGGATTTGTGGTGGTGAATAGCTGGCCGATATATGATGAAGGCATGGTTTTAAGGAGAGATCGAGGAAGGATGTCATTAAGGTTAAGTTTAGCATCAATTTCAACGGCAATTACGATTTTATTGGCGTCCTCATTGATTTTTTTTAAAGTTCGACCATACTATGAAAAACCACAAATGGAGTTATATGTGAAGACCAAATTGATGACTTCATGGCGAAGAATATCCTGACACCCACATCTTCTGCATTTTGAGTGCATCTAAAACAAATTTCTTCTAATATGATGATATTATGCTTTTATATATTATAATGACTAGTATCACTAGCTACAACAAAAGTTACAAAATAGGGTATCATGCACGGATATTTTAGCCACAAACCAAAACTGTCATAATTAGTGAATTGTATTTTTTTGTACTTCTTTTTATTTAATTAAAAGTTCTATTAGTTGTTGTGATTTTGTATCTGATTTATTAAAATATTTTTATTCAATAAAACTTTAAATTAAATAAAAAATAAAAAATATATATATCATAATGACAAGTTAGTCTTTTCAAATTGATAGAGAATAAAATCTATTGAAATGGACTAAATTTGCAATTTTAGAACTAGAAACGCCTTTAACTATAAAAATAGGCAAACCAAAGGGACCAAATTTCCATTCTCTATATAATATCTAAACGGTGATGATATAAAATTGTAAAGAATAAGAAATAGGCAAAGACTTTAATCCAGACATCCATCCGCCTACCATACCATGGCAGCCCTTCTCCTTCATTCATCTGAACGACTTTCTAAAACATGGCTAAACCGTATTTTTGCAGTCATCTACTCCGCGGTCGTTTCTTTTCTTCTCCTCCGCCACTGCCGTAATTTAATCTACTCTCCAACTCCAATCTCCATTACTCTGTTTCTAGCCGACTTTGTGTTGGCTTTTATGTGGTTTACCTCCCAATGTTTTCACTGGAATCCAATCCATCGCCGTGTTTTCCCAGAAAACCTGCAACTGTTTGTGGAGGAGAGAGAGTATCCGGCGTTAGATGTGTTGATTTGCACGGCTGATCCCACCAAAGAGCCACCAGTTGGAGTGGTGAACACGGCCTTATCTGTATTGGCATATGACTACCCGCCGGATAAGCTTTCCGTTTATATATCAGATGATGGAGGGTCTGAAGTGACACTGTATGCGTTCATGGAGGGTGCTAAGTTTGCTAAGCATTGGATTCCATACTGCAAGAAGCATAATATTGTTGATCGGTCTCCTGAAGTGTATTTTGAAAGTGATCCTGCTTGGTTCCCTGAGACAGATGATATCAAGGTGCTTCCTTCATTAAATTTCCGATTGCTGAATTTTAACCTTTAAATTTGTTTCTGAAATTAAGTTTATTCCTTTTTCCATGAAAAATAAAACATAATTGACATACAATTTAATAAATATTGAATAACTACTAATCAAATATTGATTATGCTGTGAAATAAGGCTAACTGATTAGTGTGGCAGGCGATGTATGAAAGAATGAAATCAAGGGTGGAGAAGGTGGTGCAGAGTGGTGGCGTATGTTTGGATGAGGTGAAGGAATCGGAAATTCGTGATACATTCAGTAAATGGACGCCTAATTTCTCGCGTCGACATCATCCCACAATTATTCAGGTTTCTCCTATTCATGTAGTTGTTGTTTTGTTATCAATTATCAATTTTAGTAAATAAATATGAGCTCACTTTGGAAATTTTTGAGAAAAAATTACCCATAGAAAAACTTTTTGATGGAATACCGACAGAAATCACCCCTTTTGTAGTGGTGTTTGATTTTCTTTATTTACACGAAATACAGATTATATTAGACAACACTATAGACAAAGATGTCGCAGGTGGTGTAATGCCAAATCTTGTCTACGTTTCTCGAGAAAAAAGCAACAACAAGCCCCATAATTTTAAGGCTGGAGCACTCAACGTCCTGGTAATCTCTCTATTATCCATGTTTGGTTTAGTTTTTCTGATGGGTAGAAAGCTTTACAGAGTGCACACTGGAAAAAGCTTCTTAATTTGTTTCAATTTAATGATTATCACTCCCTTTTCCTTCATATTGTAGCTTCGAGTGTCAGGCTTGCTGACCAATGGACATATTGTCCTTGTTCTAGATTGCGACATGTTCTCAAATGACCCTGAAACGCCACTTCGCGCATTATGTTATTTTATGGATCCAAATGCTGATTCTAAGCTTGGATTTGTTCAATTTCCGCAAAGATTCAATGGCATTAATAGGAATGACATATATGCTTCCGAGTTCAAGGCCGAGACACAAATTTTAAGCCTTGGTATGGATGGCTTGTTAGGCGCTCAGTTTATGGGAACAGGAGGCTTTTTCAAACAACATGTTATTAGCGACGACTCATCCTTTGGATTCATTAAAGATACAAGCATGCATAACATTTCAATTTCAAAAAGCACTAAGGATGTTTTGGTTTTAGCACACCAAGCAGCAAGCTGCGACTATGAGGATAATACAAAATGGGGATCCGAGGTTATCGGCTTTTCCCCTGGTACTGCTTTCTTGCTTGGATTCCACTAAGAATTTGGAAATAATAAATCATGATGTTTACTTTTGCAATGGATAATTTAGTTTAAGTTAGGAAACTTTAATACTAAAAGCATTCTACTGGTGCCTATGTTTTGTAGATTGGATTTCGATATGGCACCTTAACCGAGGACACCTACACAAGCTTTCGACTTCATTGTGAAGGATGGAAGTCGATTCTTTGCAATCCAAAAAGAGCTGCGTTTCTTGGAGGTTCGCCCTCAAACTTGAATGATGCCCTAACCCAAATCAAACGATGGTACATGGGATTCCTCGAAATATTCTATAACAAATATTGCCCAATCACATATGGCATTCGATCAATGAATCCTCTACATGCTTTATGTTACACACACTACACACTTCGTTCCTTTTGGTCGATTCCAATCATTGTCTACGCATTCTTGCCTCAAATTTCGCTCCTCAACTCCTTCCCAATGTTTGCAAGGGTATCAATTCGACTTTGGATAATACCAACATCTTGTGAAAAAACTACCTTTACTGAAGAAAAAAAATTATGCTGATTTCAGGTTTTTGAAGGTGGGATTTCCTTGCATGCGTTTCTATTTCTTGGAGCTTACGGAAAAGATTTTGTAGATTTTGTGGTCTTTGGAGGTGGATCGATGCAAAGGTGGTGGAACTGCCAAAGAATGTGGTTGATATGGGGGCTATCGAGTTACCCATTTGCATTGCTCGAGTGGTCACTAAAATCTTTAGGGTTTTCAACATCTGGGTTCAATGTTACCAGCAAAGTAACTGAGGAAGAACAAAAGAGACTATATGAACAAGGGGTGTTTGATTTTGGAGTTGAATCAATCTTGTTTTTTCCATTTAGTGTCGCATCATTGATCAACTTGTTTTCGTTTGTAAAAGGATTTATGGAGGTTTTCATTAATGGGAGGTTGGAAGAGTTTTTTGTGCAGATGTTCATATCTGGATTTGTGGTGGTGAATAGCTGGCCGATATATGAAGGCATGGTTTTAAGGAGAGATCGAGGAAGGATGCCATTGAAGTTAACTTTAGCATCAATGTCAACGGCAATTGCGATTTTCTTGGCATCCTCTTTGATTTTTTAACGTTCAAGAGTATAATTTGAAGAACCAAGGATGAACCATGTGAAGGCCAAATTGATCACATCCTGGTGACGAATATACCAACACCTATAGATTGATCATTTTCACTGCATCTAGAACAAGTTTCTTCTAATTGATGATATTATGATATTCTGTATTAGAATCACTGGAATCATTACAACACAATAGGGTATCGTGCACGGATTTTAGCCACAAACAAAATCCGTTGTAATTAGCGACGCATCTCCCATAGAATGTAATAGCAGAGTTTTAAGACATTTCTAACAGAATAACAGAGGGTTAGCAAGGTATTGATGCATTTGGTTAATCCATCAGAAAATTTTAAAAGATTACATGCAGATTACTGACACAAATTAAGGATATCTAGGACTGTCGCTATTTGTGTTAACCTATGTTTCTTTTTTGGTTTGTCTTAAAATAATAACTTACTTCTAAAAATAAATATTTTTTTTATCTAAATATCTTTCATTTTTAGTTAACCTACCATGAAATTAAATGTAACAAAAGAGTAAGACTCTCATTTCATTTAATAATTAAAGTTAGTGGTAATTAATATTTTCCTTAATTTGTGTGTTTTTTGTTTGTTTTTAGTTATTTGTCTGTGGGCAATAATTTTGGGACGGAATGAGTAATAGTTTAAGGTTCGAGTATAATTAATAAACCACAAATGAAGCTTCATGTGAAGGCCAATTGATTACATCGAGGCGACGAAACTGAGGATTTTTAAAGTGCCATTTTTATATTTTTGGAAACTAAACAATGTGGCTATTCCGTACGATCTTTAAAAGAATAAGTAAAACTATAAGGTTATACAGAATGCGCACTTTTTTACACGTATCGTGACTTGGCACCCCCAATTCACGTGTGACTTAGAGCATCCAGAATGGTGAGTTGAATGAGATGGCAAATATATTTATCATTCAATATATTAAACTTTACCATAGTTAGATACCACCTTGACATTTAATGGATTTGGAATTCAATGACCTTTGAACTCTTCAATAAGAAAAAAGAAAGTTTTTAAATCTTTAATATATGCTATAAATTAGCTTTTGTAATTTTCTATTGAACTTTGTAGAGTTCAATGCATTGCAGAAAAAAATGATAGAGTTGTATGGAATATAAAAAATGATGTGGCAATCCATTGAACTCTATGGAGTTCAATGCATTATGGATGCCCTTACCTCCAAACACCACCCCTAACATTTGTGATTGTGATGGTCCGTGAGTGAGGCTACACTTGGTCTCTCTCTCTCTCTCTCTCTCTCTATAGCAACTTATTAGTGCAACACAATTTCTTAAGGTTTGTGACTTGAATGTGGAATGATGTGGCACACCATCACGCATAAATGCATTGTGATGGATTCCATTTAGCCTAAAGATTTTAGAGATCTTGTGTAAAACTAGGGGTTGCATCCACTACTTGAAAGGTAGGGCTTTTCAACACCAAAACATGTCGGTATTTCGTCACTTCGTCACTGGAGGTTGTTAGAACGGATTTTTCGATGCAATTAGTGACATATTTCCTTCGAAATGTTTCTGTACATGTAAACCGGTAAAACCATTTTGGCGGGTTACTATTCACACCGACAAATTGAAGATGTTACTATTTTAATCAATAATGACTATAAAAATAGAAATAAAGAGAATCATTCTTCGGAAAATATGGATATGCAAAGATAAGAAAGCATAACTTTCTTCGGAAATATTTGAGAACCGATGAGAACTTCAACCCATTTCCATTCTTCAGCCTTCATATATACTTACTTCAAATATTCAACCAACAAGAACAACAACTATCCACGAAAATTTTATTCGCCAGTTTGTGATCCATCAAATATCAAGTTTGTTGAAAATAATAATACATAGTCAATCTCATATTTATTGGTTTAAAATGAAAAGTTATTATTGATGAAGGGTGTTTTGTGTTCAAAGTATATTCTCTTGGTTGTTAAGTGTAATTGTAGGGAAAACACGCGGGTCAGATGCTCGGGTCGGTTCTCTTCGGGTTTACACCGTATCCGTGTGATTGATGTATAAAGGGAGAGAGAGAGTGAAGGATCGATCAGTTCTCGTCTTTCAGTTCAGAGTTAGGGTTAATTGTTTAGGGTTTCTTTCGCTTCTCTCTCGCTTCTTGAGTGTGATGTTCATCTGTAATCTTTGAGATTTGTTTACTCTTGTTATTTTTTAGTATTGATTCAGTGTGTATTATCAGTTTGTCTGATTACATTAGGCTGAGAGTGTTAAGTCGTGAGAGTAGAATAGGGTTTGTGTAGTGAGTTTTTAGTTGTAAGTACATGAAAACCTTATGTTTCTTAATCCTCTAATGATATAAGAAATGAAGATGTTGGGAAATTTATCTTGTCTGATTTCAACATGGTATCAGAGCTATAAGGCTCATGATTCTTGATCCTGACGCTTCGGTTGTTGTTCGTTCGTCGTTTGGTGGTTCAGTTTACGACGATCTGTGAAAGGTATTCTTTCTTGTTCGCTTAAGTTTTTTTATGCGATTGAACCTATGTAGGTTTAGGGTTTCATTTGTTATTTTCCCTAGACTTAGATCTGTTTTATGAGATCCTGGTACTATGAGTTGTTTGGTTGATCTTGCAGATTGTCGAGATCGGTTTCCTTGGTATTGTTGTTGTGATTTTTGGATTAGAACTCTGAAGATTAATCGATCAATCCCTCTAATCTGATATAACCCTCTCGGGGTCAGATTTCATCACCGATAAACCCTTGAAGGGAACAGATTCAGGAGTCGATTCCAATAAACATTTTTTGTCTATTGCACTGTGATGGTTTCTTGTTCTCTTCTTCCTCTTTTTTTAGCTATAAACGTGGGAGATACTGGTTGTCTTGAGTACACCAGTTATTTGTTTGTGTTCTTAAATTGTTTCTTGACTGTATTAACTCTGTGTTGATTGTTATGTGTTCTCAATTTGTTTATTGATTGTTTTTTACTCTGTGTTTGATTGTCTTGGGCCCCGACATACTGTGGTGACCATCTGGACTTTAAGTCAACACAGGTGTCTGTTATTTTTTATTTGATTTGGTTGTTTATTTTGTGATTCATTATGGCTGGTGATATACCTGAGGGGAGTGGTATAGTCCTGTTGACTTTGATGACCCTTTATATGTTCATCCTTCTGATAATGTTGTAACTTCTATTTTAACAATTAAGCTGACTGGTAATGAAAACTATCGTTTGTGGCGTAGTGCTATGTCAAGAGGTCTTAAGGCTTGTGGATGATACTATTACTCTTGAAAAAACTGAAACTTCTAAAGCTTCTAAGTGGGAACGTGTAAATGTTGTTGTTTGCAATTGGATATTAGGGTCTATTTCTGAAACTATATATTCTAGTCATGTATATTCTGATAAAGCTAAAGATATTTGGGATGAATTGTTTGAAACTTATAATAAGGCTGATGGATCTGTAATCTTTAATATTCATCAACAAATTAACACCTTAAAACAAAATGGATCTTCTCTTTCTGATTACTACAATAAACTTGATTCCTTATGGAAAGAGTTTGATGGTTTAACTAGTTTAACTGAATGTGTGTGTGAGGATGCCACTAAGCTTAGTGATCATTCTAAGTTGATGAAGCTAATGCATTCTCTGAGTGGTCTTGATGATGTTTACAGTCAAGTTAAAAGTCACATTCTTTTGATGGAGCCTTTGCCAAATTTTAAAACTGCCTTCTCTATTCTCTCTAGAGAAGAGTCTCTTCAAAAGAATGGTTCTCTGAGTTCTATTATCTCTTCAAAACCACAGGTCTCTGTTTTTAATAGTTAAGTGAATGATTTTAAAAGGGGACAAGGTCAAAAATAGGTTCAGAAATCATGGATTACAATGTAAACATTGTAACCTTACAGGTCATATGATAGAAAGGTGTTATAAGTTGATTGGTTATCCAAAAGATTTTAAACAAAAGAATGAAAAACTTAATCAGAATAAGTCCTTTTCTGTGAATTTATCTTCTGTTGGTTCTAATAGTAACACTATAGCTGCTTCTGAGTCTATTCATGGCAGTGATGCTCACTATCTTACAAGTGAACAATACTCCAAGTTTCTTCGTCTCATTAATGAAAGCTCTACTAGTGAGATGTAACTGCTACTGCAAATATGGTAGGTATATCTATATTTACATACTGTAATTCTTTTGTCACTCCTAATAATTTTCAAAGTTGGATAGTTGACTCCGGGGCAAATCAACATATGATAGCCTCTGAGTCACAACTTCAAGATACGGTGGATGTGTCTAGACTTAATCTTCTTGTAAAACATCCTAATGGTTCTTCAGCTCCCATAAATAAAATAGGGAATATTCAGTTATCCTCTCACCTCACTTTATTTGATGTGTTTGCTGTTCAAGACTTTAATGTTAATCTTTTGTCTGTACATAAACTTTGTAAGGATAATGGGTGTGGGGTTGTTTTTTCTGAGCATAATTTTAAAATTCAGGATTCACTATCAAAGGAGATGGTGGATAATGGTAGAGAATCTAGGGGATTGTATTATCTTGATCATGTTCCCTCAGGTAATTCAGGTAGTTTAACTAATTCTAAGTGTTGTGTTTCAAAATTGACTTGACATAGTAGACTTGGTCATCCAGCTGACCAGGCTTTAAGTACTTTAAAAGATAAGCTAAACTTGGAAATGAATCTCTTCCTCCTTGTGATGTATGTCATAAAGCAAAACAGACTAGAGAATCCTTCTCTCATAGTCAACATAATTCAACTCAACTAGGTGAATTGATTCACCTAGATGTTTGGGGACCTTATAGACTTGCTTCAGTTGAGGGGTTTAAGTATTTTCTGAATATTGTGGATGACTTTACTAGGGCCACTTGGGTTTTTCTTCTAAAATCTAAAAGTGAAGTTTTTGATTGTTTTAAGTCATTTGTGAATATTCTATTAAATCGGTTTGGTGTTAATGTTAAGGTTGTACTTTCAGATAATGGTACTGAGTTTGTGAATAATCAAATGAAATTTTTTTGTGTCAAACATGGTGTCATTCATCAAACGTCTTGTGCTTATACTCCACAACAAAATGGAGTTGTGGAAAGAAAGCACAAACACATTCTTAATGTAGCACGATCACTTTTGTTTCAGTCAGGAGTTCCTGTTAAGTATTGGGGAGATGCAGTTTTAACTTCTGTGTTCTTAATAAACAGGATGCCTACTTCTGTTTTGAATGGCTTATCTCCTTATGAACTTGTTTTTAAAAGAACTCCCAGTTTTGATCATTTAAGAGTTTTTGGTTGTCTTTGTTTTGCTGTTAAACAAAATGTCACTGATAAATTTTCTGAACGTGCTGAGAAATGAATTTTATTAGGATATTCTTCTGATAAAAAGGCTTATA